GTTGCATTTTTCTCTCTGCCCACCCCTCCCCCTAATTCGCTCTTCTCTTTGAAAAGTAAAATAAAAATTATTCCACTGGTATAGAATCCCCCAAGTATACTCCACTATGCAACCTTCATTCTGGACTCTTTTCATAATGATAATACCCAATCATATATCACTTTCAAACAGTTTTCTCCTCATCTGTTTCAATGCACTGTACACATCTTTTTTAAAAAAGTAATATCTTCATCTGGAGAGTGTCAAATACATATATATATGCACACACACACACACACACACACACACACACACACACACACTTTGGGGACTGACTTATACACAGTGCCCAGTGGGACTTCTAATATACATATTTTTGACTGATTGACCTATATTATTTGTCGAGGTAATTTTGCCTTTCTTAGAGCCAAAACTGTTAATGTAAGGAATTTATTATTTAACTCCTTTGTAGACATATATTTTTATCAAAATGCTCATTGCACTGTGACAGAGATCCTTTTTTTCCAGTAATCTTTTTTTTTTCAGAAACATTAAGTGAACAAAAGCATGGGACAAATTTTATAATTTCCCATTCTTTTCCAAAATTGTGAGGCAAGAGCAGTTTTCTGTTTGAAATGGCTCCACAGTTAATATCAAATATGAGTTTGGGAATGCTTGGCAGCATTTTATATGCTATATGCTTTTTCTATACTGTTAATGAGGATCCCTTTTGAAACAAACTAATCTTTTGACTTAGCCTTAAGTGTTCCTCTCATTGTTCAGATGTATTTCCTATAACAGAAACATATTTCGATTGTTTTTCTTTTCCCCTTATAAATTGTAATTCCTTGAACACTGCTGCTTTAAAAAGTCTCATGGTCAAATTATATGATCTAACAATTGAATATTGTAAATATATTTGTCTTACCTCTCAATAAAAGACTACTTTTCTATTAAAAAAAAGAATAGGTTTGATACATTGAAAACCAATGATTGAAGACCAGATGAGTTCTAGAATGATATTGTCAAAGACATTATTCATGGTGATAGCAAAAAATAATTTCAGAGACAGAGAAGAAAGAAAAGACCAAAGTATCAGAATAGATTTGGAAACCTACTATAGTACAAAGAAGGTATAACAAGGGGAGGGAAGGCGGAACAGAAGATTTCAAAGGGGAGCTTGTAAAGATAAAGCAAAATATAATAAAATGTGCAAGGAGATAGAGTTAGAAAATTAAAATAAAAAATACACTTGGCATTTCTTAAATGCAAATAAATGAAGAACAAATTCAAGCCTTGAGTTTCAATACTGAAGGATTTTGTGGGCAAAATCTTGAATGATTCAAGAAGCATTAAAAGCATATGGAAGAAGCCAATAAATCAAAAGACAAATTGCATTGGGAAAGTCTACTGTCAGGGACATCTCCAGAGTCCTGTAGAGCAGCAATGTCAGTTTGAAGACTATGGTGTGGCTGATCCAGGCCATGGTCTTTGCCATTACTTGTTATGCATAAGAGAGCTGGACAATGACTAAGGATTGACAGAAGGAGAATTGATGTGTTTGAGCTGTTGTGCTGGAGATTATTGAATATATCAGGGACTGCTAAGAGAATAAACAGGTTCATTCTGGAGAGTGTAAAACCAGGCTGCTCCTTGGAGGCAAGGATTCTGAAGCACCATTTGACATACTTTGGGCATGTTGAAAGGGGAGACCAATCCTTGGAGAGGGACATTATGCTTGGGAGGATGGAGGGACAGCGCAGGAGGGGAAGACACTTGATGAGATGGGTTGACTCAGTGACTGGGGTAATGGGGGTAGGTGTGTCAGAGACAAGAAGGTTGGCTCAGGATTGAGCAGGGTTCAGAGCTGTTGTATGTAGGTTTGCTATGAATTGCAGACAACTTGATGGCACATAACAACAACAATTCAATTTGTGTGTTGAGTAAATCATTTGAGAAGCTGGACTATGTGGAGAAGAAAGTGGCATCAGTATTAGAAAAATGTTTATTCACAACCTATGATACAACCTTGCTTGCAGAAAGTGAAGATTTGAAGTACTTACTGTTGTTGCTATTGTTATATGCTGTCGAGACGCTTGCGACTCATAGCGACCCTATATACAACATCCCTAAACTCTGTTCTGTCCTGTGCCAAACATACCATCTCCAATACACCCATCCCGATTACCCCAGTCACTGAATCAATCCACTTCATAGGGGGCCTTCCCCTTCTGTGCTGTCCCTCCACCCTACCAAGCATGATGTCCCTCTCCAAGGACCTGTCCCTCCTTGCAGCATGTCCAAAAAGAAGTACTTACTATAGAAAACAAAAGACTGTTGCTTTCACTGTGAGTTACACCTCAACATCAGAAAAATGAAAATACTTACCACTAAATCAATAGGCAGCACCATGTTGTTGTTGTTATTGTGTACCATTGAGTGGCAACTGACTCATAGCTGACTGTCTAAAACATTTTAATCACAGGGAGGAGATTTTCCTAGAAATTGCTGATGAGATAGTCTGTGGTGAGGACTTGGAGGCAGTAGGTTGGAAATATAGTGAGATTTCAGTGCAGGTTGAGGTAAGACAGAGGGTTTTAAGCCCACTTCCCTTCCAACCTTGGGCTCTTTCCTGTCCTCCTCTTGTCTGTAGGCGTATGACCTTAACTCCTGGTCTCTCATGACTCCAAGGCTGTTTTTTCCCTTTTGGGCAGTGTCCCAGGAGTTCTTATCACCACCTCTATGTGTAAATGGCTCTATTTATTCGAGTTTGAGTCATTTTAGTAAATGCCTTTCAATCTAACCAGTTTGATTTGGAACAAATTAATTTGACATCTGGTATGTAGGGGGCACTAAAGGGGTTCCAGGAGAGATAATTTTAGTGTCCCAGGGCTGATAAGCATTGTGTGGGCTCAGGTAGGAGAGCTGTTGGTGTTACAGAGATTCTCACCAGGTTTCCTTGATGGGCTGATGGATCAGGCTTTTCTCTATGTCACTGTTTATCTCTTCAGCTAGAGCCAGCTTTGTGATCTTTATTGGGATCTAATGCTCTGCACTCAATATCTTGAATTTTTAAATATTTTTGATCTAGGTATCTGCATTTTATTTCTATTGTACTTCACAAATAATTGATTCTGGGTATATCTTTGGTTCTATTGAAATAATTTTGTTTATAAAATAATATATTTTTGTTTCAGAATGCTTAGTACAGACAAGGAACAAGAAAAAAAAAAAGAAAGAAAGAAAACCCAACTCCCAGAAAGAAACTATTCTAACAGTATGGATTTGATCTTCTGTGAAGTTTTACTGTCATAGATGAACATTGAAGCATGTTCTACAAAAACTCATCCTAGTGATGACAGAGTTTGGTGGATGGGTGGGTGGACGATGAAGGAATTAGGAAAGACGGAGACCTGAAAAGACAGCTTAATAGTAGAAATAACTTAATGAAACACAATGCATATCAGTGATTGTTTGAAACACAATGTGAATGAAGGAATGAATAAAACACAATGTACGTGAATGATACACAATATTTATAAATTGTGTATGCAAACCAATATAAAATAAAAAATAAAGAAAATGCATCCCAGTGATATTCCACTTTGGTATACATTTCTCTATGAGCACTCAGTTGTGTACATTGGCTTCCCAAGAAATGCATTTGCCACACTTTCTGTAGCTGACTAGTGTTCCACAATACAGCGGTTCCTTCACTAATTTAGGCAACCTGTCCTTCTTGTCCATGAATTTGGTCCTTCCCCCAAAAGAACATCCTTAAACAGAGAAATGTATACATAGGAGAGTCTTTACTAAAAAAGAAAAAGTTGTGGTATTTCAGGACATTTAAGTGTGTAAAGACTGATCAAACTGCAGTTTAAGGCACACTTGCATTGAGAGTGATGATAGATTTTCAGCTGTGCGTTGTGTGTCTGTGGCAAATGCTGCCCTCCTCCTGCAAGGCTCTGAGCTCTGCCTCAGGTGAGCTGAATGCACAACTCTGCTTCACACCTGGCCTGTGTGGGTCGCAACTCTGCAGGAAGACTGTGTGACTCCATCACAAGCCCCTCGTGCAGAGGAGTCTCTGATCAGAGTGGGTGAACCCTCATTGGCTCCCTGTGGAATGTGTCACGCCCAGAAGAGCCCGAGTTTTTGTAGTGAGTAGACCTGAGCTAGGCTGCAGGTTGAGTGGATACAGCTGACCTGACCAGCTATGGCTCGGTGCTGGCCGAACATGTGGCTACTCTTTCTGGTCTGCTGGACCCTCCCTTCAGGTGAGTGTCAGCTACCATTGCCAGAACTCCCACTGTGAGCATCCATTTCCAAGGGTGATCCCAGAGCTTGGGGAGATGGTGGAGGAGTGCCCACCAGATCCACAGGGCCGTGTGATTTCTTCATTGGTGTTTTCTGCAACTTTTCCCTTCATTAAAGCAAGGGATGTAACAAGTCAGTGAGAATAATGGAGATTTGAGATAAAAGGCTGGGATCTGGATTACAAGTGAGATTTACTTCCCTAGCTTCTATACTTGGTAGTGGAATTCCTAACAGCTCTCTACACCTCCTACTATTATCTTGTGTTTGTTGTGCCCCAAATCCACTTTCCCCCCAAGTCACCAAGGAGCCGACACCGATGCAAGGGCAAGAGGGAATTTATTTCAGATTCGAATCCGGGCCTCGCTCAAACCGTGCTGATAGAGCAGGGAAAATGGCACGGCTGTCCTGCCTATTTAAAGGGGAAAGCCCGCGAAAACAGGGCGATACAGGATTGGCTGATGTTTGGGTGGGGGCTCTTTTCCACCTTCCCCCACCGCTTTCAGTTTACTGCTCTAGAGGCTTATACATTTTAAAATGACATATTGGTTACAAAATGGAGTCCCTCATGTTCTTGCCTAGGCCCTGCTGGGAAGGATTCCCTGAGTCTCCTGCATGGCACAAACGACTGTGAAGGTGTGGTTAAAGTTGAGTTTCATGGACAACATGGCCATGTGTGTGTGTATCACTGGGGCCTGGCAGAGGCAACTATGGTCTGCAGACAGCTTAGCTGTGGCAAAGTGCATTCAACTAAAACCTACATTCTGAAACCCCAGGAGATGACGCCACGCTGGTTGCAGGATCTCCAGTGCTGGGGCAATGAGTCCTCAGTCTGGGAGTGTACTCTGGGGGTGTGGGGACCCCTGCAGGGCTGTGCCTGCCAATGTGTGGCTGTGATGAGCTGCTCAGGTAGGTGAGGGGGGTGGGGCCCCTGTCTACAGGGCCAGCATCCTTGATTGATCAGCTGCTGGAAATTGGAGTGATTTAGTTGGAGCTTTTACAGGATAAGGAGAGTCAGCTCCCCAAAGGTCCTAAGAGCCAGCAGTGCTGCGTGTGTATCAGGGAACAAGGAAATATCACTGAGCTGGAGGGTACTCCTAGTCTGTCCTCACCTGGCCCACCTTTTCATTTCTTCCTGAGGTGGTTTACAGGTTTCTTCCCTCATCTCCCAAAACTGTACTTTTCATTGCCACCCTCTACCAGCAGAGCATGCCTGGGCTCCTCTACTACTTACTGGCAACAGGGCCAAGCTGGCCCAGTGACCAGTATTGTACAAGGCCAGGATGGAGCAATCTTGGGAGGGACTGTCATCACCCTGGGCCCTCTTGAGTAAGCTGATGGAGCGTTAACTATTTTCTCATGTAGGCTGAGCCTTCCGCTGTCCCTTATTTTGGGGAAGCATTTGTAGCTAAACGAATGGGTGCTGACTTTCCCTGTTTCTCCAGGTGCCTTTCTACACAGAACCAGGCTGGGTGGTGGAGCCAGCCCCTGTGTGGGGCTCCCTGAGGTAACAAACCCAGACTTCTCTGTGCTGAGATGTGACCTACACAAAGAGGAAGCCAGTGTCTTCTGCAAAGAGCTGGGGTGTGGCACTGTTCTTCAGTGGACCAGAGCTTACCTTGCAAGGGACTCGAGGAACCAAAGCCAGAAGGCTGTTATCTGCCAGGGGACAGAGTCCAGTATTTTGAATTGCCAGCTCAATTTGAACTTTCCTGGCCAGTGTGAACTCTTGGTGTACATGGAAGTTGTGTGCTCTGGTATGAATAAGTGTTGGGAGTCTGCGAGTAGGCCACAAGAAAGGGGCATATCAGAGGGCGGTCATCTCTCCTGGGTGTTCAGGTCCTCACCTAACCCTGCATGGGTGGGACCCCAGGAATTCATCTCCAAGTAGTAAGATACCAAGCCCTAGCTTTCTTCACTATGGGCTGTTGCAGATCAGGTGTCTATGGGTCTTCCTACATCTTCTGTCCCTGAAGGACTTAAGGACAGTGTAGGACCTGGTCATTCCATAGAGATGCCTTCATAGAGACTGCCATGCCCAAGGGGTTCCTGGAGTGCTTGTTGCCTTGAAGGCAGCCAAAGCTCTACCATTTCCCAGGACACACTGAGTCCTGGCTGGTTGGTGGGCAGCACCCCTGTATTGGGCCTCTGGAGGTGCGGTGTGGCCTGACCTGGGTCACCATCTGTGATGCTGACCTGGACCTGCCCATGGCCATGGCCCAAGTGGTCTGCAGGGAACTGCAGTGTGGCTCAGCTGTGTCCATGCCTGGGGGTGCACACTTTGGCTAGGGCTCTGGGCCTGTCTGGACTGAGACCTTCCACTGTGTGGGCAACAAGTCCCTGCTGTTTCACTGTCCTCAGGGACCTGGACGCCAGGAGCCATATGAGCACAGGCACGATGCCGGGCTCAGGTGCTCAGGGGAAAGTAAATAATTTGTTACTAGGTCCTGGGCCAGGGTCTGAACTGGGCAATGAGGGGTTCTCTGAGGCAGATTCTCTCTTGTGATGATGGTGAACAGTTAGTGTGTATCAAAGGGCCAGTTTCTTGTCACTCTGATACCTAGACCAGAGATTGGACCTGGACCAGGAGTTGATTTCTCTTTCCAATCAATGTCTTGCTCATGACCACAATCTCCCCCCCTCACATATTCTTCTCTTTTTTGAGGGAGCCTCACCTCTGTGAGTGACTCTCATCCGTTCCCCATTAGTGTGAGGGTGGCAGGAGTCCCTGCAGATGTCACTGCTCAGTATGTTGCATGGAATCCCTAGAGTTTCCCTAATATGCCCTCCCACCCCTAGTTGTAAAATTCAACAGTGCATTTATTTTAGAGTAATTCAGGGACATTTTGTGCAATGTTCATAACCGCTGCTTCAACTTCGTGTCAGCACATCATCACCGTCTCATAGACCTAGACCCATTAGCAGTCCCTGTCCTTCTCCCTTGTCCACCCTAAGTCCAAGCATTGGTCTCCTCCAGTGTCTAGAGATTTGCCTATTTTGGACATTTTACATTTGTGTCTTCTTTCTCTTAGCGCGGTAGTTTTAAGGTTCAATTATGGCTGTTTATAAGAAAGGGCCTCATAATCTTATTATGGAGGACTTGCGTGTGAACAATAACTTTTCTGTTGTCACGTTCTAGATTCTTTGTCATTTTACGATTAGATTGTCATGAGTCTTGATGTTGCTCTTTGACTATGATAGTTTTTCTGAACTCTTTTTGTAGACTGTATGCTTTGTTGTGTGTAGCCACGGACCTCCCTTCTACTAGCTTACAGGTCAGCTAGTGGTTTTACATAGAGGCTAAACACTTAGGGTGAAAAACAAAAATCTTCCACTCTTGCAGTTTGCATATTGGCTGATTTGGGGTACTTTTCCACAGCTTTGCTAGAACACGAGCAATCTGCCTTAGCTTTCATTGTCTTCTTGCATCGGGTGAAAAGTCATCAAAATTTCCCCCCTTGACCTTCTCCTTGTTTCATGTAGTTTAAAACAAAGCAACTGAAACAAACAAACAAACAAACAAATCAAGCAGACGATCCAAACTATGGTCCAGAGTTGTGAATATGTTAATTTTGCCAATTTTTCTGCCTTAACCATTGGAGGGGCTGCACCATAGTTCCTATTAATATTTTCCAGGCTATCACTGGTCAGTGTTGTTCTCTTGTCCTCAGTCAATGCCTCTTGAGTCAGGGCATGGGATATACTTAACTGAGCTCATATGAAGTCTCTGGTGCCACAGGGAATGCAGAGATTAGAGACCGAGTCCTGGCTTGCGTTTCTGCCCCCAGGGTTCTGGCTGGTGAACGGCAGCAGCAGCTGTGTGGGGCGAGTGGAGCTCCAGGTGCAGGGTGTCTGGGCACCTCTCTGTGCCACTCACTGGGATTGATCAGATGCCAGTGTGCTCTGCCACCAGCTCCATTGTGGCAATGCAGTGGCCATAGATAAAGGAGATTATTTTGGGGAAAGGGAAGTTTCCATTCGGTCTGACGTGTTTCACTGTGTGGGGACAGAGGCCCATCTGTGGAGTTGTCCAGCAAGTACTTTGGGGGCAGCAGCCTGTGCCCTGGGAAATGCTGCAACTGCTGTTTGCTCAGGTGGGTGCAGAGCAAAACCTGCAGTCTGGATGGTGGGTGTTTGGACAGACACAGGGAGTCTCAGGGTCTGGTCTAATGGAGGGCATTAGGTGGTGCAGGGGCACAGAAGAGAGATGACTTGAGAGTAGCCAAGTTGTGTAGCCTAGTGGTGAGATTAGAGTTGAGAATGAAGGTGCTTAGAGGGATGCAGGACCAAAGAAGAGGAAGGAGCACAGGAAGATCCAAGGGGCATGAAAGGTATTAAGGGAAGGAGAGGTGTGGAGAGCTGAGGCATGGACAGGTCACTGTGGGGTCCACATCTCCTCTGCTCCAGCATGCCCTCTTCCCAGGCATGCTCCACACCCTGCGGCTGAGAGATGGACAGAGTCGCTGCGATGGATGCTTGGAGATATCCCTGGATGGGGTTTGGGGCCGCGTCCTGGATGATGACTGGGACTTGCGGGTTGCCAGTGTGGCTTGCCAGCAGCTGCCATGCGGAGGAGCTGAGAGAGCCTACAATGCGTCTGCCTCAGGCCCTGGCGCTGTGCGGGTGGGGCTGAGTCGAGTGCACTGTCTGGGCACGGAGACCCTCTTGGTCCAGTGCAAAGTGTCCATATCTCTGCTGGTGCCTGCAGGCAGCTCGCAGGATGTGGGTGTTGTCTGTTCAGGTGAGTGGGGCCGTCCCTTCTCAGTGCTCTCTTGGGCCAGTGGCCGTCTGACTTCATCTCTCTGCAGGGAGTCTCCAGGTCCTCCAGGTCTGGCTGGAGGACCAGGGCGCTGCGCAGGGCGTGTGGAGGCGCTTCAAGGTGGATCATGGGGCACAGTGTGCGATGACGGCTGGGACCTGCGTGACACCCACGTGGTCAGGCCCTGCGTGCCCTAGGGTCTGCTTACTTCGGGACCGGGAGAGGGCACATCTGGCTGGATGATGTGGGCTGTGAGGGAAAGGAGCTGGTGCTGTGGCAATGCCCCTCGGGGGGCTGGACCCGACATGACTGCGGACACAAGGAGGATGCTGGCATCGTCTGCTCAGGTACACATCCCACTGCCTGGCCACCCCCATGTCTGATCTAAGGTGTGACCCTGTTGACCTGCGCCTGTCCGCAGAGTTCACAACCCTGAGGCTGCAGAACCGCACTGGACCCTGCACCGGGGTGACCAGAAGTTCTCTACAATGGGATGTGGGGTGGTGTATGCCAGACTCTGAGCACCACCTCCCTGCATCTGCTGTGTGTGCAGCTGGGCTGTGGGCCCTATGGGCAGCCGCACGCTGGGCCAGAGGCCGGCTCACACCTCGGGGCACTGTGGGTAGCCTCTGTGCAGTTCAGGGAGAAGAAGAATGATGTTTCCCTGTGGCAGTGTCCTTCGGCCCCCTGGGACCCGCATTCGTGCTCCAACAGTGAGGAAACCTGGGTGATGTGCGCAGGTAAGCAGGGGACCTGGGTGTGGGCTGAGCAGGGCAGGGCTCTGCGCTGTGTCGGCTTCCATAAACGTCACTTGGGTGGAGTTTTCCGTGGGTGGAATGTCCACGTTGCATATACTAACACTCGGTGAGTGCTTTTGAAAAGGGGAGGCCAGGGAGCTGCATAATCCACTCCTAGGTTTCTGAGTCCTGGTCCAACAGATGGTCAGCAGAGGACCTCAGGGTGGACGGCATCTGTGAGAACATCATCAGGATCACATCCCAGGAACACTAGACAATGCCAGTGGGTCTGTCACCCTCCCATTTCCCGACAGGGGTGCTTGGCCATGCCTGTCTCTAGCCTGAAAGTGTGGTGCTTTTTCCTATGTGGACATAGTGACGTGTATGATGGAGTGGGAAGAGTAGACATAGAACTAAAATGTGTGGGAAGTTCTCTCCTGAATGTAAAGGTTCAGAGCTTGTAGATACATAGTGGGATCTGCTTCCTCCACAGGAAAGACAGCAGCAGCTCCACAGGCAGCAGTGAACCCCATGAACTGCTCGGCCACTGAGCCTTGCTCAGGTGTGAGGCCTGTCCCTTGTAGGTCCCCCTGTGCAACACGTCTGGCACCTCCTGACCAGGCCCTTGTGTTCCTAGAGGAGGGCTGGCTGCATGTGTGTGAGGGCGAGGATGGCTGTTCTGGCCGTGTGGAACTCTAGCTCGCTGGCACCTGGGGGACCGTGTGCGATGATGCCTGGGATCTGGAGGATGCAAACGTCGTGTGCCATCAGCTGGGCTGTGGCTGGGCAGTCAGCGCCCCAGGGGAGGCCACCTTTGGGCCAGGGTTGGGTCCTGTGTGGCTGGATGAAGTGGCCTGTGGGGGCCAGGAGATGTCCCTATGGGACTGCCCTTCAGCACCCTGGGGGCATGTGGGCTGCTCGCATGAGGAGGATGCAGGGGTCCACTGCTCAGGTGAGCTGGGCCCTTAGAGTGGAATGGATCCTGCAGGTCAAGATAGGATTGCATAGGGTGGGACCCCAAGGGAGCCATCAAAACCAGGACACTGTGTGCTGTGAGTCTTCTTTTCAGGCTTGTCATTCTCCCAGAACCGAAGACCCAGTCATGTGGTCAGTGCAGGCACCAGCCTCAGTGGCCACAGAACAGGGTCTCCACAGGGTCATTTTGGACAGCCTGATGGTGGTGAGAGGACCCCTCAAATTTCCTGTGACCCTGCAGGACAGGGTCTCCACTGGGTCACTTTGGGCAGTCTGATGGTGGTGGGAGGGTCCCTCAAATTCCCTGTGACCCTTGCTTTCTTACTGCAGGAGAGAAGGAGCTAGTGGGGTTGTTCACTTGCTTTCTCCTATCTGAGCCCCCTCCCCTTGGCTCTCCTACCTGAATTTTTCTGGGTGAATTGTTGGCCTAATGTCAGAATTGTGATACTGACCCAAATGTAATAGTTTCTAGTCCACCCTTTTCTCAGTAGGAAATGGATTGGTAATCTTTTCTTGTGTGATTTACTCCCTCCAGACACTCAGAGGTCAGCTGCAAGGCAATTCAGAATCAATGGCATAACAAGCAATTTAACCCATCCGCTCTCACTGAATCTAACAGCTAGACCAGTGCCACACCCTGATTCTTTTACCTGGGCTCTCTTACCTGGATTCTCTCGTGGGTTCTCCTAACAAGGCCATGCCACCTAGGCTTTCTCTTTACATTCTCCTCAAGACCATGTCTTCTGCTTTGTCTTTGTGGAAGAGTAGTAAAGTGGAAGTTTTTGTACTAAAGCTTTCTCTTGTCTTGATCTTCTTTCTTCTCAGAAAGGCCTGGATCATTGACGTCCAGGTCACAACAATGCCCTTGGCCCCTCCCTGTCTTTTACAGGTCCTCTTGCAGCCCCTACACCTGCCCCTGTGTTAGAGACTGTGCCCTTGAGTCTCTGTATCGTTGTTTGCACCTTCCTGGGTTTTGTGTCTCTAGTCCTGGTGGTCCAGTGCTGCTTCAGAACTTGCAAGGGTATGTAAGAGCAAGTATGGCTCACACAGAACCTGGAGGTGGGAGGTTGAATGAGTGTCAGTCTAGGAGATACCAACCAGAGATGAGCCTTTTTTATCTGTCACTGCTCTGTTACTGGGCAGGTTCTCCCCACATGTACACAGTGCTCTCTGTGAGTCTCAACAGACCGCCAAATGTTTGGGATGCAGAGTCTGGTCCAGGTTGTTTGAATCAGGGTTGGGGGTGGGTTAAGAAGACTTAAGTTCCTGAGATACTTTTTATGAGTGCAGGTCAGAGCCTCCTGAATCCATATGGATTCTTTGTATAGGGAGAGTTTCCTTGAGGTGCCATGAGAAGTCCAGGTAACTAGCAAGCCCCACCCCAGGATCCGAGAAGCTGTGCTATCCCTTTGTGCACAAACCCTGTGGGTGGGGACTATTGACAGCAGGGCCCCAGGCCTGCACACATGAGAGACCCCAAAGATGGCAGGGCAGGGTGAATTAGAACTGGGAGGAGGTTCTCACCTAGAAAGTTCTGGTGTGACCTTGCAGATTCTGAAATGACTGGGAACCCTCCCTCAGAAGGTTTCTGTGAAGACATTGGAGACATTCCCATGGGGCAGCAGAAGTCAGAACCCAGATGGGATGAGGTCCTGGAGGATGAGTATGATGATGCTGAGAATCCTGGAGATGGACCCCTGGCGGAGCAGGAGGAGGGAAGGGATGTGGACGTGGAAGATGACCAGCATGAGGGGTTTCAGAATCCAGTGGGTGTGTAACTCTTTGCCCTGGCCTCCCTAGAGCTCTTTCTGTGTTATTGCTCCCATTCACAGGACTTTTCTCTGGGCAGCACCTACATCTAAACACCTGTGAGGCACTTCCTGGTGTATCTGCATCTTCAGTCTCAGGATCTAAGCTGCTTGACATTCCCTGTCTCCTATTGGTGTACCTGCAAAGTAGGAAGGAATATAATTTTCTGAAAGTCCTGGTAGCCTAATTCATAGGGACTTGCATTACTAATCCAAAAGTGGCATCTCTTTGGCAGTTTGAACTCACCAGCAGCTCGGATTTGAGTCAGTTCTGACTTGATAACAATGATAGATTGATAGATAGGTTTTTCTGTTTTGTTCATTTGTCTATTTAGGAAATTTGGAAGATGGTTACTTGACCAAGCAACTCCAAAAAATTCATTTCTTTGCCTATTTTCAAAGAAAAGAAATCTACCAGAATGTGTAAATTATCTAATAATATCACACAGAAATAAAATTTAGCCAAAAATAATAAAACAATGTTGTGACAGAATACTGGCACAACCCTGTCAGAAATTCAATATGGTTTCAGAAGAGTATGGAGAATGAGGATAATAGAAGCAGAATTGATGCCTTTGAGTTGTGGTGCTGGAGAAGTGTACTGAATATCCCCTGGACTGTCAAAAGAACAAACAGATATATCTCGGAAATAGTGCCACCAGTGTTCCTTGGAGGCAAAGATGGCATAGCTTTATCTTTCATACTTTGGACATGCTGCTAGGTGAGGCTATTCCTTGGAAAGGGACATCATGCTTGGAAAGATGGAGGGTCAACGAAGGAGAGGAAGACCTCTAATTTACACTCTGGAAGGCACTTTGATGTTTCCTCAAAAAGCTGAACATAGAAATTCCATATGACCCAGCTGTTCTACTGCTAGTAATAAACCCCAAGGGAATGAGAACTGAGATACAAATAGATATTTATACATTGATGTTCATAATAGCGTTATTCATAATTGCAAGAACATGGAAACAGCCCAAATGTCTTACAAATTAATGGATTGAGAAATTGTAATACATTCACACAATGGACTACTACATAGCATTCAGGAGCAAATGTTTTGAAAAATGCTACATAACATGGGAGAGACTGGAGAGCATTATGCTGTGTGAACTAACTCAGTCTTTGAGGACAAATACTGCATAAGACCATAATTATAAAAATGAAAGAAACCCTAGTAAAATGTGTATGAAGCTCCAAGGTGGGAAGGAATGAGATAAGGGGGGCTGAAGATGGGCAAAGGCAAAATCAAGGAGTGGCAGAATTTGGTGGGTGGAGGGAGGAGATGAAGGAAATGGGAAACATCCAGCTGGGACCCGAAAACTTGAGGTAATAGTAGGCATAGATGACTGGTGATTACATTTATAAAATACAATGTGTGGGAATGTCTGAAACAATAGGAATGAAGGAAAATGTGAAATGTATACTAATTTTGTATGCAAACCAAAATAAAACACCTAAAAAAACTAAAAAAAAAAAATACCACCACCAGGGATGGATACATCCCTGGTAATTACTGGTATTAAGTAAATCCCTGGTAATGTAATTACTGGTATTAAGAATGGAAATATTCAGAATGGGTGAGCCTGGAGGACATTATGCTAAGTGAAATATCTCAGTCGCCAAAGGACAAATATTGCATGGTGCCATTACTGTAAAATGGGACTGATATCAGGGTGGGGGTAAGACTGAGAAAAACTGGATAAATTGTGTATACTGCACTGAAACAGATGAGGGACTGAATAATTTAAAAGTGATGGAAGATAGGGTATTATGGTTATCACAAGAGTCCACAATTAAGGTTGCATAGTGGAATGTACTTGGGGTGGT